AAGTCCCATAAACTGCCCCGCCGAGCCCAGCTCCCCTCGCAGCTGGGGGGGGGGGCATCATTTTAAGGCAGTTTTGACTCCTTGGAGGGGCGGTGTATCAAGGGGGAGGGGAGGGGAGGGGAGCCGAGGCAGGGCAGGGTACCCCACTCCCTTAGCTGACGCTAGAAGAGACTGGCGCTGCGCTGCGCCTCCGCCCCGCAGACGGGTCTGGGCGGCTTGGGGAAGCCTTGCCGTGGCGGTGTGAGCAGTACGAGGGACTCTGAGCCGAGCGCTGCCGGGTGCACAGGCGGGGGCTGGGCTAGCGCGTCCCTGCCCAGCTCGGTTTCCATCCGGGTTGCAGGGAGGAGCCTGGCTCGCAGACCCGAGCATGATGCCGGCTGCTGGCGCCGGGGACCCCGAGGGCACCGCGGCTCCCGCTGAGGGGAACCCCGGGCTGGGAACGCCCGTGGCACGGGCGGGCCGTCACCCTGCAGCAGCCCAGGACAAGTTCTTCTTCATCAAAGGTGCAGGAGCCGGGGGGGGGGAGTAAAGGCCCCATAGCGGGGAAGGGGCGGACACGCTGCTGCTCTGCCCAGTCTCCACAAGAGGTGAAGATTCCCCCTTCTCCTCATCACAGCAATAGTGTGAGAAAGCCCCTTGTCTCCAGGGCAGACAGGCTGTGTCCCAGGACGGGCAGTGGGGCTGGCTGGGGTGCTACTGGTCACAGCCTTGGCTGTAACAGGAAGGTTCCAAGGATGCTGCTGCTTCTCCCCTCCCCAGCTGAGCTGAGTGCCCCACTCCTTGCCCTTTGCCTCCTTGGGGGAGTTATGGGTTGCCGGAGAGGCTATCGCTGCTCTAGCAGGTGCCGTGGCTTCAGCCACATCTTGGTACTGACAGCCTCTGTCCACCCACCCCCATCTCTGAAGGGTGGTTTCCCCTGCACTGCTGTTGCCTCAGCCCCAGCCCCCCATTCCAGCCCCAAAGGAAGCAAGGGGACCATCCCTTTGGGTGGAACCTGCTTCTCCTGCAGCTTGCTCAGAGGGCAGCAAGAGAGTGCAAGCAGGTTTAGAAATGCTTCTGAAGCAACTGCACTTGTCACAAAGCCACCACTCTGTATCTGACCTCTCACGCCTCCTCAGAGGAAACCTGCACAACAGCTTCAAAAGATGAGCCTGGGAGCTTAAATTCACACCTTTGCTAGACACTACAAAATATAGACTGAACAGACACACTGGATTTATGGCTTGTTATAACAACAATCTGTAACCCTCGTAATCAGCCTACGACTGGAGAGTTGTTAATGGGCCACTTCACCTTGAATGGTCCTTTGAAATATGTGTTAACTATTTATGCTAAACAATCTGTTCCATCTTATGTTTATCAATGAAATTTGAGTACATTTCCCAGACCGGAAGAAGAACAATGTGTAGCTCAAAAGCTTGTCTCTCTCACCAACACATGTTGGTTCAATAAAAGATATTACCTCACCCACCCTGTCTCTTTGAAGCAACTGAAAGTTGCACTTCCCCTTCTCCCCAAGACGCACAGAAGCCTCTCAGCTACCACCATGGGTATAGAAATGGCTCCAGGCCACAACAGGGACAAAGCTGGAGAACAGCTGCTGAATGTGTCTTCAAATATGGGCAGATTTCCAACTGGCAATTTGAACTGATGAATGCTGCAAGAAGCAGAGTTAAGTCTCCCCCTTGAAGAAAGGGTGCAGCCATGGGATAAACAGTTATTGAGATACCCATGCTGCTGTGGGGAGATATTATTCAGAGAGCACTGTAAAGGAGAAGGACCTTACCTGGGAAAGCCAGGAGTCTGCTTGGTTTTATCTGACTTTCCTATAGATGAATGCAGTGTAGTTGTAGTTGTGTCAATCCCAGAATATTAGAGAGACAAGGTGGGCGAGGTAATATCTTTTATTGGACCAACTTCTGTTGGTGAAAGAGACAAGCTTTTGAACCACACAGACCTGACCAGAAGAAGAGTTCTGAGTGGTTTGAAAACTTCTCTCTCTCAACAACAGAAGTTGCCTCACTCACCTTTCCGATAGATGATCAGTCTCTACATGGATTTACTGGCCATGTGCCCTTTCTCTTCACCAGGAGTGTGAAGTAGCAAATCAGAGTTTTAATTTGTTGATATAAACTAATAATTGATTTTTAAAGTATTATATTACAAAACATTCCTTGTCATTCACTAGATTAGAAAATGAGCAGTTTGACAGCTATTCCTTTCCCTTAGGCAGCTGCTGATAGATCTGCACTTCTGATTTTTTTTAAATGCTTGAACATTATTTTTTTCTAGGAAAGAAATCCATTATTTTAATTTCTTAAATTTTGTTGGCAGGTGGAATTTTTCTAGGTACTGTTGCTACTGCAGGAATGATAGCTGGTTTTGGTACAACACTTGCTATGGCTAAAAAGAAAAACCCCAATTGGTTCAATAAGGTTTGTTTCTTTTAAAGTACTATACAACCAGGCAAAAGTAAAAATAAAATCTTTGCTTCATAGTGTATTATTGCATGCTCGTTTTGGCTATACTAATTGTTAAAGGTATAGTAGTTTTATAACCAGGAGGCCTGATTTTGCATCAATGAAGTCAATGAGAGCAGGAGTTAATTCTAAGTTAGGTGTGTGTTCCTTACTGCTCTAGTGGCAGATCTGGGCTGGTTATAATAAAGCCCTATAAAAAGTTTATTCAGTCTGCTGTGATCATATTACTATAATCCAATGAAAAATATTAAATACATGTGTCACAGTTCAGGGCGACTACACCTGTATTCCCCCTCTATGGTCCATCAAGGGCACATATGCTAGGCTTCTGGCTCTCCAGCCATTGTCTCTCTTGGGTGGAGACATGCGTCTCACTTTTCTGACCAAGATATTTCCAGGCTGCACAGTTCCGTAATTATACTATAAATTCACCAGCAAAGTCAGACTGCCTAAGCAGACCTGTTTGCTTTCTCTTCAGAGACTAATAACAATGTTACTGCCAACAGTTGAGCTACCTCACAGCACTTTCTGTGCAAACTTATTTATTCTTAGGATAAAAGCATTAAAGAGAAAACATATTAAAAACAAAAAAGAACCTACATGTACGCTAATAAGCTTACCAGAGATCATCCCAACTCTAACATGGGTCCTGATAGGTGATTAGTCCTTCAGACCCCACAAAGGATTCTTGTCTATGGTCACAAGTTTATAACAGCCTCAGCACAGAACTAGCACACTCATGAAAAGTATACAATGTATACATTAGTCAGTATCCTAGAAAAGTTGCATACAGTCCTACAACTACACAAACAATTCTATTTTTAATACAATGGATCTTTAAACTTAAATCTTACTGAATTAAGTTAAATCTTATTATCTGGGATATTGCAGGAAATTGCCCTCTGTCACAAAATGATTGAAACACAAAGCTGTTAAACAATAAATTTGCCGTTTAAAGCCCTGATTCTGCAAACATGCAAATACTTTACTCATGTGAGTGGTCCCATTGACAAGTTCAAAGTTAAGCACACACATTTGCAAGATTACAACCTATATGATTAAATGAATATCATGTAGATAAATACACTGTCACAGATAAACCTAGTGTGTGAATGATCACTGTTATAAATAAATATGCAGAAAGCTGTTTTAGTAAGATTATACAGAGAAAAACATGGACATTCAAACTTAAACTCCATCTTTAATTTGTCCCATGCCACCTAGGTATTACAACACATGGTATATGTACTGGTCTGTGACTCACATGTATGTAACACTTGCAATAAGATACATAAAAAATAGTGTTAGATCATTCAAAAAGTTTCTAAAAGGTATTCAAGTTGAGGACATTTAGTATGTATCATTAATGTAAGTAGAGAATTTTAAAATAAAGATTATGTAAATACATAATATTGACCTAGTAGAACATCTGTGCCATAAACATTTAGACCTAGAAACCTATAAATATTTTGCATTTTTAACTGCAAGGACAAACCTATGATGGGACTGTATGTGCAAATATATCTAATCTTGGAACAGAACACAACTATTCAAGAAGAGTTTTTCCTTAATCAGTTTTTCATTGAATGAGCATTTGTAAAATAAACACTTAAAATTGATCAAACACTAAACCTACTATAATATCTATTGCACCTAAGAGAGGCCTCATCCTCTAAATCCTTTTGATCTGACATACAAAATCATATCATTTTATTCTTTGTACTTTCCATTAAGTTTATAACAGCATTTATTCTGAACCCTCAAAATCTCTTCTTTTGGAGGAGGGAATATCTGAGATCCATCCTTCATCTTGCAAAACCCTACTTTAGGCTGAGACATATCACTCTGTGGCTGTTCCATACTGATCCCATGTCGCCTCTAATACTAGAATATCTAGCAAAAAATGCAAACGCCATCTAATTTCAGGTAGGTGAACAGTAAGATGAAGCATACACATTTTTTTCTGTGAGTAATGTAATAATTCTTCTAAAGACAAACTAATAGAAAATAAATTATCAAAATCTAGATAATTTTAAATAAGAAAATAAACAGCAGGGTTCTTTTAGTAGCAGAAAACCAACAGGGATCAGTTTTTTAACATCCCATCCTCTCCAACAGTGAAAAACATTTTTACAGTTTAGCACAGTGGTGGGCAACCTGTGGCCCATGGGCCGCACATGGTTCGTCAGGGTAATCCACTGGTGGGCTGCGAGACAGTTGTTTACATTGACCACTCGCAGGCACGGCCGCCTGCAGATCCCAGTGGCCACGGTTCGCCGTTCCTGGCCAATGGGAGTAGCGGGAAGTGGCGGCCAGCACATCCCTGCAGCCTGTGCCACTTCCCACCACTCCCATTGGCCCGGAACGGCGAACCGCGGCCACTGGGAGGTGCGGGTGGCCATGTCTGCGGACGGTCAACATCAGCGAAATGTCTCGCAGCCTGCCAGCGGATTACCCTGATGGGGGCTGCATGCAGCCCACAGGTCACAGGTTGCCCATCACTGGTTTAGCACAATTATTATTCTGTTCAGAAGAGCCTTGTGTTACTAGAATACTGGAAAAGGTGTGATGTAGGTGAGGATTAAGGTACACTGGGTGAGATTTTTTGGAAAAACTTGCAGAGTGCCTTCCTGCCTTATACCTGGCTTTGGCAAGTGCTAAAAGATTTTGATGAATATTAAATTTCACTGGATTTAAAAATAAACAAGTCAGTCTAGTTGTAGAATGTATTTATACGTTATTTTGTGGCAATATTGTATTTTCTATGGCCTATTTAGATTTGAAAATATACAAAGAATTATTTAGTCTAACAATGCCCAGATTTTTTAACTTTCAAAGCTGTCTGCAAAACTCATCTTTCTTTCTCAGCTTTTGGAGAGAGGAGGGTTTGAGGGATGTAAAGTTATAGTATTAGTTATTATGTTTTGTTTTGTTCTACTTAGAGTGTGTGAGTATAGTGTCGTTGGCTTTTTTACGTGTAATTATTTGTAATTAATGTTGAGACATTCAAGTTTTGCAAGATATGTAGAAACTAAGACAGTTGTCTCATTTTAAATCTATTAAGAAGTAGGCACACTGTATAATAATATACTTCCACAAATTATATAAATCCTGTTACAAATAGCACAGTTGGTTTCATTCTGACTGGCTATTATTTTTTACCATCTTGCAATGATGTTTTAAAACAACTTTTTCCTGGACATTATGTTAACACCATTTCAGACCTGTATGCTCTTCACTGGCTAACCTGCCCTACTACTCAATATGAAATTAATCTAGAGGACATTAAGATGACACTGAAGAGTAGTAGTAAGATTGGACGAGGCTCCAAATGAAGTGAAGGATTTTCCTTTTTGGTTGAAACCTATATTTGCTGCTAGCCCTGCAACTGAATTAAAACAGTTTATCAGCAAACGTCAGTGTCTACCAAGAACTAGAACTTTAGAGAGCATAAAAAGGAAATGCTGCTTTTTGCCATGCTGACTGTGAAGATAGCTGGTGAACAGTTTCACAAGACTGAGGCTAGACTTTGAAAATGGTATAACTGTCAACAAAAGAACGGCTGAGGACAGGTCACCAGAACAGAAAAGTAGCTCTGTAGTAGCATTATTAATTTAATTTAGAATTGTATATTTTAGAGCACTGAACATTATCATTTGTAACAATACAACTTTTAAATGATATTGTACAAAAATAAAAGCATAACCATGAATAACTAGCTTTAAAGTTAAATGCAGTCATCATAGATGTAAAACGCATAGTTAAAATGAATAATGTTTTTATGCTTACAAAAGTGAGAGACTAACAGCAGGGGTAAGAGCCAGGCATGATGCAGGAAAGGACTGCTGTAAATAAGTAAGTAAGTAAAATCCATTTATTCATGTCTGACTATTGGTGAGACCATAGCAGAATTTTCAGAAGCCTTCTCAATCCATCACTAGCTTTGAGCACTCAGCAGCTGACCTCCCAGTGATCTGCTGGACACCATCTATCCATCTCCTCGCTGGTCATGCCCTACTATGATGACCTGCCGCCATTCCTTACATGAGGACTAGGGCCCTACCAAATTCATGGCCATGAAAAACATGTCACAGACCATGAAATCTGGTCTTCCACCGTGAAATCAGGTCTTTTGTGTGCTTTTACCCTATACTATACAGATTTCACAGGGCAGACCAGCATTTCTCAAATTGGGGATTCTGACCCAAAAGGAGTTGCAGGGGGGGTTACAAGATTATTTTAGGGGGCTCATGGTAATACCAGCTTAGTTCTGCGCTGACTTCAGAACTGGGTGGCCGGAGAGCGGCACCTGATGGCTGGAGAGTGGTGGCTAGTGGCCTGGGGCCCAGCTCTGAAGGCAGCGCCCCGCCAGCAGCAGCGCAGAAATAAGGATGGCAACACCATACCATGCCATCCTTACCTCTGCGCTGCTGATGGCGGCGGCTCTGCCTTCAGAGATGGGGTCCTGGCCAGCAGCCGCCGCTCTCCAGCTGTTCAGCTATGAAGGCAGCACTGCCGCCAGCAGCAGTGCAGAAGTAAGAGTAGTAGTACTGCAACCTCCCCTATAATATCTTTGCAACCCCTCCCCCCCAACTCCTTTTTGGGGCAGGACCCCTATAGTTACAACACTGAAATTTCAGATTTAAATAGCTGAAATCATGAAATTCATGATTTTTAAAATCCTATGACTGTGAAATTGACCAAAATGGACTGTGAATTTGTAGGACCCTAATGATGACCTTCTCGAGGTTATTTCCATCTTTATGCCTGACGTGACCACAGTACACAAGTTTGCACCTTTCGATTAGGAAAGTACAAGGCAAGGCCCCAATCCTGCAGATACTTATGTAAATGCTTAGCTTCACTCCCATGCATTGTAATAGGAATCAGTGTAACTACTCAAGAGAGTAAAGTTAAGCATCTATGGAGTATCTGCAGGACAAGCTTTGATAATG